CGCCATGCTGTCCTGGCATGTTTTTGTTGCTGCTATTGCTGTTTGGCATTGAATTTTTGTTGGAAATCAAATATCTAATGCCATAACCCTGGGGGTAGGTTTCTTCTAGCTCTTTCTGATTCGGTTTCTGATTCTGTTCAGAGCTCACACACACACATATGCCCAAAATGGCAGCAGAAAAGGTTAATCGAAGAGCCACAACAGAACGTAAGTGCATCTGTATGTATCTGTGTGTTTGTGCTTGTGTGTGCTTGTGGGCAACACAACAAGCATCTCAGGATGCTGTCAAATGTTTGGTAATTAAAAAAGAAGAAGCAACAGCGGCAGCAACGCAACGCTGGGAAAGTAATGGGAAAGAAATTTCTTGGGCCAAACGAAAGTCAAATGAAAATGAAGAGACGAAGAACAAAAAACCAAGGAAAATTTTACAGTTTTCAAGGGAAAGAAAGCAGATGAAAATCCCATATCCCAATATCTCTCAGATGTCTGTCTGAGAGGGAGGAAGGGTAGGGGAGCAGCGGTTTCGAGGGGGTTGCTTAATTTCAATTATTTCATTTTCCTTTTTTTTTTTCTCTCTCTTTTTTGTTTTTTTCGAAGCTAATTTGATTGAGTTCTTGTGTAAGATGTCAAGGATTTTTCAGCTGTGATTCAGGCAGTGCCTTTTTTGACAGCTCTAATTTAACCTTTTTCATCATCTACTCGTCGGAATCTACGCTCGGAAAATGTTCACAAGGGTTCGATAAGTAACCAAAGATGTTCACGTAAATTTCTATAATTTATATTCCCATCTTAATAAGGAAAACCATAAAAAAAGCAAATGGAAGTGGATGAAATTTCGATTAAAACTTGTGCGAACTGATACAACTTCGTTGGGAAAGGAATCCTGAAAGGCATCTCTAAAAATAGGTCAAATGTGGAAATATCTCAATCGTATATTCTGGAATATTGGATAGGCACACAACGAGCAGAAGAAGTGGAAAGGAAGAGGAAAGGGTTTATTTAGGAATTTCAAGGTGGATTTGGGAGTGGGCTATCTTTTACTCTGATTTCAGAACCATTTGATGCTTGTTGGAGATACGTACAAATCGGTAGAACTGATCGCCCGCCCGATCCTTAACCTTATTATTGGCGATCTGGGGAAGGGATGCCCTGAGAATGTCAAATATAAAAGACCCGTTATGCGAAGCAAATCCCCGGACGGAGAGCAAACACAAACCACAAAAACACAGAAGGAAAGACAATGAGAATGAGGAAAGCAGGGAAGCAGGGAAGTGAGACAGACCATCTGAGACAGACCAACACATGTTTGTGGGACTGGAGACCCGAAGAGGGGGAAGTTCTTTTGGTGTGGCAAAGGACGGGGGGGGGGGGGGGGGGGGGGGGGAGAGAAATCCACAATTTGCACATCGATCATATAGCATGAAAGGAGAGAGAGATGGGTAGAGATTCAGAGAGAGAGGCACAGATGAAGATAGAACTTTGGTTTGTTCCACTCTAGCTCTGCTCTCTGCTCCTTTGCTCCTCTGCTCCTCTTTTACTCCTGTACTCTTCTCTCTTCCAACTTCTTGTCTTGGTACTTTCCTCCACTCATCGTATCATCTCCTCCTCTCTGTCTGTCGTCGTCCCCCAAAGACACAAAAGCCTGTCAAGGCAAAGAAACTATTGTGCGAGAAGTTTTTTCCGTCTTTTGCTTGAATCAAAGGAAGATTCTTTTTCTTTTTCCTTTAGCGGATACATACCACTAGCCATCCCGCTATATATTTATGTATCTGTAGCTGTAGCTGCATCTGTAGCTGTATCTGTGCATAACTATGAATCATGGTAAGTGCTAACGCTGTATATATGTATGTACTGGCGTAGAAGGAGAAACAGAATGAGAGAACCGAAAAGGGAATACGAGAAGTAGAAAGAACAGCACAAAGGCAGAGCCAGAGCCAGAGCCGGAGCCAGAGCACATTTCAAGGATTACACACTTGGATGTGTGCGTGTGAGCGAGAGAAAGAGATCTACTGTCTTTTCAAGGTATCTACAAGATACACACAAGCACACACTCGCACACGGATGCACGGATACGAAACAGAGGTAGACAATTTCTACCTGGACAACAACCGATCAAAATCTCTGCCGAAAAAAAAATAAAAGAAAACGAAAACGAAATGTGGAGGAAAGAGGAAGATAGAAGGCAGTAAAGGAGAAGAGCAAGAGCGAGAGGGAGAGGGAAGGACAGAGTGTGTGCGTGTGGCAGACGGAGAGAGCAACATCGTTGCCGAAAAATTAAAATTACAGATGGTTTTGTTGCTGGATGAGCATATGTACAGGAAACCAGTTTTTATGTTCAACAAACAAAACCAAGAAAAACGCACGAACGAGAATCGAGTGTAGAAGATACACACACACACACATGCACACCAAAAGGAGAATAAGAGGAAGAGAAAGACGATGGACAGAGCAGCGTTATGATGACATAGCCGCCACGCCGCCGCTGCTGCTGTTGCTGTGGCTGTGGCTGCCGCACATGCGCAACGCCAGCTTCGTGTCGTTCCGTCAATTGTGTATCTTCGAGATACAACTTGGCACTAGCACAAGCTACAGTGCGTTCAGCCAGCATTAGATTGGGTGGTGCTGGTGCTGGTGCTGGTGCAGCAGGGGAACAAACTGTACAATGAGAACGCACGCCTAGTAGTTCGTATCTCCTTTGGGGGAGGACCTCACCCGATCGCCTCTGGTTGGGGGACAGGTCCCTAAGGAGAACATCCGTTTCGGTCCTTGAAGCATCTCTTTGTTTCCATCCCACAACCAGTTCTCCTTGGCAAGCATTTGCTGTAGATCGGTTGAATCATTTGAATAGCTGGGTTTTTGGGTCGTATACTTCTGGCACGCACTGTGGCTTGTGGTCTATTTTATGTGTGTGTTTCGTACAATTTGCTCTGCTGTTGCTAGCCGTCTTCCGCCGCTCCTACCCTCCACAGCTTCTTTGCCCCTCAGCATGGTCTTCGTTTCTATTCCCCCTCCCCCCTCACCACCCTGAGGCACAGCCAGAGAGAAACACAAAGAAGTTGAGATACGTACGTGCAACATGTGTGCGTGAGATGTTTTTGCTAGGCTCAGCGTCAACAGCGGCAACAGCGAAATCCTGGCTATGGCCATAGAAATGCTTTTTCACGCAAGCAGTTTTCAAGGATAGCACAGCGATCGGCAGAAACCAACGGAGAGGCGAGTCCTTTGTCCCTCGCATCCTCAAGGATGTGCGCACATCGCACACCGGGGAAGGGAAGCCAGTTCCTGCACACACGCACACGCACACACACATATCCGTATCTTTGTATCTACACATGTTTCTTGTCGTGTCTTGTCTTTCTTCCTCCTCACTTCTCGCCATCTTTCCTTCGCTTCTTTCTTCGCCAAAAATTGTGCCGCAAACAAAAACCCGCCTGAACTTTTCCGTTTTCTGCGATTCTCAGCCTCAGCTGGAGAACAACAAAGAGCAGGGATATAGAGAGACACAGAGATATATATACATATATATATAAACATATACGGGAGAGAGAGATAGAGAGACAGAGAGAAACAGCAGTGAAGAAGAGATATTAAAGACACGCACGTAATTTCTTTGGAACTAGCAGCCGAATACACAAAACTGAAACCACAACAACAACGAATTTCTACAAAAATAATTAAGAAACAAAAGAGCTAAAAAAAAACATTTATTTAAAATTGAATCGTGAGAAGGGAATGGGTCCAGCGTTAACCGATACTATGTACCTCCTACCAACGAAATGTTTAAGGCTATTATAATCCTATAGATGTATGTATGTATATCCTGTATACATGTGCATACAAATATCATAGTCCTTGGCCAAAAACAAACTTAAGAGTTCGAAAAGGTATGGGAATGGAAAAACCAAACTCTACGAAAATCGTTTGAATTTAGTATTGAATATTCTATAATAGATTTTGATATTTCAAAGAAATTTCAGAACAACTGAAAGAAGAATTATTGTAAAAATTAGCCAGCAGAACAAAGAGTTGGGTACAAAGAAATCGTTAAAAAGGGACCTAGTAGAGGTTTAAGAATTCTAAAAGTAGCCGCAGAGGCAAAGAAAATATAAACCTGTATGTTGAGGCAGGAAAAAAGGCAGGCCGAATAGCTTGCTTCTCCAAAACAATCTAAAATCGATGTGAAATATCTTTGTAAGAATGATACGAGATACCACTGCCTGGTCAAGATGTTTGATCGTTTGTGTTGAACCTTTCGAAATCGGACCCATGGCCCACTGGAAGCCCACTCCAAGGGCTGTGTAACAACTGAAAACCAAAATACCACCAAAAATATGGAAATAATAAAAACATAAAATTTGTAATTTTCACTTTTTTTGTTTCTTTTTTGTCTCGTTTATATTTGTCATTTAAAAAAATACTTAGAAGGCGTGCCAAAAGGGAAAGCGTTAAGTAGGTTAACAATTAGGTTAAAAAAAAAAATAATTGTATAATAATAATAAACAAGATCTTCGAGCAGTGGGGGGGATGAGGAATGTTGGCATGCGAGTGGTTTTTGTGGGAGGGGGGAATTAAAAATAAATGAAAAGTTTAAATAATTACAAATGGATTTATTCGTGGAACATAAATTAGGGGCAACTAAACGTAATAAATATATAGGTTTATGTATAGGTTTATATATGTATATATGTATACTATATATATACGCGTGTTTGTTTGTGTGTGTGTGTGTGTATGTGTTTGTGTCTCTATATGGTATAATATCCCTGATTTATCGCATTTGGCGTTTTTAAGGCTAACAAATACACATGGATATGTATGTCTAGTATCTAGATATAGTATATATATCAATTGGCATTTAGTTTCTGCTTTTTAGTGTACATATCGTGTATATGGCATTTGTGGTTCTCTTTCTATACTCCTCTCGTCCTATCGCTCTGTTTCTGTCTCTGTCTCTCAAAAGAGAAATCATATTATAAAAAAACAATCATTACAAAATACTATTCGAAAAAAAAATACATATATATATGCTCTAAGATTAAGTACAATTCGAATATCCCAAGCTTTATACATATGGTATGTATATATAGAGTTATATATTATATGTATGTATGTATATGGTTGGGAGTATATACACATATACGCGGGGCGCCCTGTTGGTATAAGCGTTTCGTTTCGGTGTTTGCTGCTGTGTTGCTGAGGTATACTTGGAGGTGTTTGTTTTTGTTTATCATTTCACATACAAATTAAAAGTTTTTTAGAATTACAAATTAAAATAGGGCGTAGGGCGTAATTAGAGTACAAATAATAATACAACATTTAACATACGAGTAAAATTAAATAATTTGCTGCTACAACAATTAGGAATTCTCTTGCTTTTCTCTGCATTTCGTTTTCTTCGTACCTTTTCTCTGGGGAGATACTTTTCTCTATATATATGGCAATCTCTAATTACAGGAATGAATTGTGGAATTCTGGAGTGTTTAATGGGTTGGATTTGTTGGGGGGAGAACAGCCTAAGGAGTGGCAGTCAAGTCATTGAAATGCTGCGGCTTTGGTGATCAAAATCAAAGTTACAAAAACAACAAAATACTTTTAAAAACAGCAAATTATTGCCTGCCAGGCAATAAAATATGTTTTCTTAATTTGAAAACTAAATCAATGCGCGAATTATATGACATTTTAAGCACAAAATCATGTTTAAATATGAAATTGTGCAGTGGTGCTCAAACTGTGGGTCGGTGGACTGCTTGCTTGGACTGCAGTGCAGCTGTATGGGACTGCTCGGAGCGGGAATCACTTGACACTGTACCACTTGGAAGCAGTGCTCATGTCAATCACTTGGCTGGCCCTCAACTGCAGTGCGGGTCAAACTGTCTCTCTTTCTTTGCCACAAAGCTCAGAGCATTTCACAACTTAATAAGCCCACAAATCCGATCTGATCCTAGTCCCTGACCCGTGATCCCTGATCTTTGATCCCTGACCTATTAATACAATTCAATATCTTTCTCAATCATCTCGTACTCCTCGTCGGGAAACTCGTCCTTGATCAGCAGATGGTGGCTGTCCTCTGCGGCGGCTGTGACCAACAAGATTTGCTGCGCCTCCATTTGCTCCACCATCTGATCCTCCTCAGCCTCGTCCAGCAGCAGCTCCTCCTCCCCCTCCTCCTCATCCTCATCGTCCTCCAGCAGGCTGTCATCGTCAGCGGCCACATCGTCGATGGATCGCTTCAGATTAAGACTGAGACCGGGATTCAGTTGAGGATTGGAGTTGGGAGTGCTCCTGGGCGACAACGACGACACGGCCGTCATCGTCAGGGAGCGGGCAAAGGCCGCCTTAATGGGATTAATGGACGGGGCAGAGGCAGGAAGGGTGGATACGACAGTAGTCACCAACTGTTGCTGCTGCTGTTCCGACTGCGAGGCTGCTGCAGCAGCAGCGGCTGCCACAACGGCGGCGGCTGCGGCTGCGGCGGCAGCAGATTTCTTGCCCACAACCCGGGGTCGATTGTGGGTCTCGAGGTGCTTGCGCAGGTGATCCTTGCGACAGAAGCCCTTCTCGCAAATGTCGCACATATGCTGCTTGAGCCCCGTGTGGATGGCCTCCACGTGGCGCCGCAGATCGGTCTTGTGATGGAACTGCTTCGGACAGAGCTCGCACTTGTGCGGCTTGTCCTGGGTACGGTGCCGGCCCAGGTGTGTCGTGTAAACATCCTCGCTCTGGAAGCGCTTGCCGCACTTCTGGCAGCGGAACGGGTACTCACCGGAGTGGAAGCTCTTGTTGTGCTGCGTGAGGTAGCAGTTCTTGGTGAACTCCTTGTCGCACTCCAGACACTTGATCCGCCCGGAGGGCAGCGTTGTCGAGTGCGGCGATGTCGATCCCACGCTGCTGTTGCGTCGCCGCTTCGTCGTGGATGGTGTGGCAGCGGCCGTTGCTCTTCGCTTTTTGGGCACCGACTGTGCCACCGTTTGCGTCGGTTGCTGTTGCTGCTCCACCTGCACAAGTTGGATCTGCTGCTGCTGCTGCTGCTGCTGCTGCTGTTGATGCTGTTGCTGTTGTTCCAGGGCTTGCTGCTCCATCTGTTGGTGGTGATGGTGCTGCTGGAGCTGGTCGATCTGATGCTGCTGAATCTGATGCTGGTACTGCTCCAGCTCGTAGTCCTGCTGCTGCTGTTGCTGCTGCAGCAGGGTGGCCATGTCCAGCTCCAAAGCGGGCGTGGCCCGCGAGCTGCTCACCGTGGGGGAGTAGGGGGTGCTGAGCACTGTAAGCGTGGGCGTGTGCGCCTGCTCCTGCTGTGCCTGGGCGTGGGCCTGGAGGGCCGTCGTCAGGGTGTGCACTGGCGGCAGGTCCCCCTCCTGTGGCGATCGCTGGGCCGCCACCGTCGAGTAGGGCGAGAGCGGGGCATAGGGGGCAAACAGGGAGGCGGGCATCAGCTGCAAGACCTGGCCGTCGCTGGTCGTGATCTGGTGGGGATGCCCATTCGTGGTGTAGCCAGACTCGACGCCGGAACTACCAATAATAGTGTGATAGCTCGTTGTGGGATCCAGCGGCTGCAGCTGCTGGTAGCATGGCGGCGGCGGCGGCATGATGGGCATGTGCATGGTGTGCGGCATGGGCATGGTGCTGGTGATGTGCAGCGGCGGCGGCTGCAGCTGCAGCGGCTGCAGCTGCGGCGCTGTGGTGGTGATGGGCATGTGCATGGTGGGCGGCATGGGCATGGGCATGGTGAGGGTGGTGTGGGTGAGCGTGTGCTGCTGCTGCTGCTGCAGCGGCGGCGGAGAGCTGCTGGTGCCCGGCGAACTGCTGCTGTGTGGCATATTGTCCTGCGGCAGGATTAGAGCCCCCGGATCCGGCTGCTGATGCTGCTGCTGCTGCTGCTGCTGCTGCAGGTGCTGGTGATGATGCTCCTCCTGCTGCTGTTGTTGTTCCTCCTCCTGCTGTTGCTGCCGATGCTCCTCCAACTGCTGCTGCTGCTGCTGATGTTGGTGGTGGGGGTGGAGCAGCGCCTGGTAATGGTGCACCAGCTGCTGCGGCTGCTGCTGCATAGTGTCCATACTGGTGGTGGTGATAGTAGCTAGCGGCGTGGTGCTGGTGCTGCTGCACTGCAGCATACTGCTGGGCATGGGCATGTGCATGGGCATGGGCATATCCAAAGCCAGCATGTTGTAGTCCATTCCCATAGGCGGCAGCAGCGACTGCTGCGGCTGGCCCATTCCCATAGGCGGCAGCGGCTGCGGCGGCGGGGTGGTGCGCGAGAAATCCATTGCCTGCTGCTGCTGCTGCTCCTGCCGCAGCGGCGGCTGCTGCTGAAGATGGTAGATAGTAAGGGGCGAGAGTCTGCTGTTGCTGCTGCTGATGCTGCTGGTGTTGCTGCTGCTGCTGACCGCCGTGTTGGGAGTGTTGCTGCTGCTGCTGTTGCTGTTGCTGTTGGAGCTGTAGGGACGGGATGCCGCCGATGCCGATGCCAGCAGATAGCTGACCTGCTGTTGCTGTTCCTGCTGCTCCAGCTGCTGCTGCTGCTGCTGCTGCTGTAGGTGATCTACTGCCCGCTCCTGATCCTGCTCCTCCTCCATGGCCATTAAGCTGCTGCTGCTGCTGCGACTGTTGTGGCTGTTGTGGGTGTGATTGCTGTCCTCCAGATGTTCGATCTTTATAGCTGCCATTGCTTCCGTTTCCATTGGCATTGTGGCTGTTGTTGTTGGGGTGGTTTTGGGGGTGGTGGTTGTTGTTGTTTCGTTCAGCAGGCCCCTCATTTGGGAGGACGGCATTTGTGTGATGTTGTTGTTGTTGGTGTTGAGTGGGGCGGAGGGACCTGCTAGCCCGTTTGGGTGACCGTTCAAAACGGAGTTGTTGTTGTTGTTGCTGCTGCTATGCTGCTGCTGCTGCTGTTGGAGATGCTGCTGCGAATGCGAATGCGGATGCTGCTGCTGCTGATGACTGGAAGCGTGCTGTGGTGAAGCGTTTGTCGTGGATTGCACTTGTTGCTGCATGCCGTAGCCGTAGCCATTGGCGCCGCCGTTGCCCGGATACCCGTTGCCGTTGGCCTGCTGCTGCTGCTGCTGGAGCTGGTGTTGGTGGTGCTGCTGCTGCGTGGTGGGCGATGGCGAGGCCGAGTACTGGGACATGGCAGCGCCGCCCACCGCTCCCACCCCGCCTCCGCCGCCATAGTCGGGCGGACTTCTAGGCGGCTCCGGTGGTTGCACGTTGGCCGGCGGTGGTGGCTGCACTTGGGGCACCGCCGAAGCGGCCGCGGCAGCTGCAGCAGCGGCCGCAGCTGCGGCGGCGGCATTTCCGCGCCGACTGGGCTTCGTGACGGGATCGCGCGACGGATGATGGTGTGCCGAGATGGGCAGCGTGGCTGGATCTGGCTGGCCGCTCGACTTGACCGCGTTCTTGTGCAGCGTCGTGTTGTAGTGGCGCTTCAGGTGTCCGGAGCTGGTGAACCACTTGTTGCAGGCCGTGCAGTTGTAGGTCTTGGGCCTGCGCGCCTCATTCGACTTCCAGGTGGCCGCCTTGGCTGTAAGGCTGTTGGCCGGCAGCACGGAGCTAGAGCTGGGGGGCTCGAAGCCGCGATAAGCGGCCTGCTGGCCCACGGCCACTGCTGGCGGGGCGCCATCCTGGCCCGGTCCGCCCGTCGTTGTGCTGGGGAACTCGGCCGGACTGGTGGCCACATTGGCACACAGATCGACTCCTCCGCCACTGCCAGCCGTCGGATCGAATGACTTGTCCACGTAGTGCTGCGAGTCAGGGTACTCGGACTTGATCAGCCCGTGGCCTCCGTACTCCTGCTTTATGAGGGTAGCTCCGACGCCGACTCCTCCGCCCGCCTGGTGGTAGGGCGACTGCTTCGGCGAGTAGTACGGCGACTTGTCAACGCCGACGCCCAGACCGACGCCAAGGCCGAGGCCGAGACCCGGCTGCTGCTGCATGTAGGGGGGCAGTCCCTCGACTCCCACTCCCGTCTGAGGCTGCTCCCAGCTGTGGAGCGCGCGCTGCTGCATGGACTGCATGGAGTGGAGGGGATCGGGCAGCGACAGAGGCAGGCCGGCGACGACAGCCTCGTGCTGGTGCTGTTGTTGCTGCTGCTGCTGCTGCTGAAGCAGCTGCTGGTGGTAGACCATCTTCTGGGAGTCGAGGTCGAGCAGCTCTCCGGGATTGGATCCGCCCGGTGGCTGAGGGGTGGGCATCTCCTCCTTGATGTACGGCGAGCTGGCGTACCCGCTGCTCCCGTACGGCGACTCGCCGTGCACGTTGGCGATGTGCTCCTGCAGCTCCTGTTCGTTGGTGGTGAGGATGCCGCACTTCTTGCACTGCAACTTGCAGCCCCCTCCGCCGCCAGCTCCGTTGGGGGAACCGGGTGGTCCACCCAGCTGGAGGTGCGAGGAGGTCGATGTGGGACTGCTGCTGCTGACGACGCGCGGACTCATCGCTGATGTGGTGGTGCTCACGGCGCTGGGAGCACTCACCGCCTCCTCCGCGGCGCTGGGTAACGCCGATGTTGGCGTCTGCAGGTACGGATGGTACCGCACCCCTGAGCTCTGTGCCGCATGCTTGCCGTAGTCGCCGCCGCCCACCAGTCCACTCCCAAAGCTGTAGTCGCTGCTCTGCTGCTGCTGCTGTTGCTGTTGCTGCTGGTAAAACTGCTCGTAGCTGTTGATGTAGCTGCTGGCGTAGCTCTGCTGCTGCATTTCACCGCCGTATAGGCCGCCGTACAGCTGTTGCTGCTGCTGTTGTTGTTGCTGCTGCTGCTGTTGGGACTGGCCACTGGCGGAGTACATGTGATGTGTGGCATAGGGCTGGTGGGTAATGCCCGTTACCTGTGGATCCGTGGCCATGCTCTGCTGCTGCGTTTGTTGCTGCTGCTGTGGTTGCTGTTGCTGCTGCTGTTGTCCCTGGGGCTGCTGCTGCTGGGGTGGCTGCGGTGTGCCGGGCTGGTTATCACTGGAATCGGCTGCGGCGCTTATTGTGGCATTTGGGGTTGCCGGGGCACTGTTGACACCGCCGCCGGCTGCTCCTGTCCCAGCACCACCACTGCCGCCGCTGCCAACTGCTGTCCCTCCTCCTCCTCCGCCGCCGCTGTCTGTGGCACTGCTTGAGGCCAGAGCCTCTGCCGCATGCAGTGGCGGCATTTCACTTTTTATGCTCGCCATGTACCGCTACATAAGTCAACGGCGTATCGCTCGTGCTCGTGCTGTTGCTGTTGTGTCTGCTGCTGCTTCTACTGCTTGGGCTGCGGCTGCGTGTGCTGCTCATGTGGCCGCTCTTCCTGGAGGTGCGTGCTGCTGCTTGAACTGCTTCCTTCCAACTGCTTTAACACTCCTGCTTCTTCTTGTGCGTATCGGGCCTAGGCTTGCATCCGCGCTCGCCTCTTTTCCTTCTCCTCCTCTTCTTTAGATTTTGTTTTCTTTTTTGTTGCTTTTCGTTGGCTTTTTGTTTTACCGTTCGTTTTATTTGTTATTTTTTGTTTTAATTAATTTGGTTTGGTTTTCATTTGTTGTATTTGGAACTGCAAATAATTAAATTATTTGATTCGATTATTAATTGTTTTAAGCAAAAAAAAAAACAAGAAAAACAATCGCACACACACATACACAGACAGACAATCATCTAACTGTTCTTTGCATTCATTTTGGTTCGAGTTCTCTTTTCCTTTTTGCTGCACTTTTTTTGCACTTTTTTGAGAAAATTCTTAAGAAAATACAGATGTAATTATAGTTTTGATTTTTACATTCGAAAAATGTTTTTTTCTTTTAGCTTGGTTTCAGATTCTTTCACACCACTCGAAAAAAAAAATATTCAACTGTGCAGCTTCTCCATGTGGCTCCTCTTTCGTGTTTGTGCTTACTTTTATGCGCCTTTATTCTCTCCTGCTGCTGGTGATACTCCTCTGCTTCTTCTACTGCTTGTCTGCTGCTTTCTTAACACAAATCAACAGAATGGGGTGCGGGTAAAAATGAACGGAAGGAAACAACAAAAAATGGTTTCAAACTTTTGCTCGGTGCGGCCGCCTCACTGTGCTATGCAAATTTTGAATTTTGTATTTTGTGTGCAAGAGAATGAGCGTGTTCTGTGCGACGTCTCTTTCGCTGCTGCCTCTTTTGCTCGCCTGATTCTTGGCTGGTTTCTGCGGCGAGTGACTGCGAGAGATCTCCGATTCTGCGATCTCCGACGACACGACGACGACGACGCTCTTTATTACATTTACCACAAGATCACTTTTTGGTTTGTCATTATTCTTTTTGGGGAAATGAACATAAAAAAATTATTTACAAACACAATTTAAACACTTGGAATGATTATAAACTTTTTAATGTTCTTTGTTTTTGGTTTTGGTTTAAGTCCGAAATAGAGTTTTAGTTTTTCTTTAATTTGCCGAGAATTTTGTCCAAAAATTTGTGAGGTTGATTTTGCCGTTTGGATTTTTGTTTTTTTTTTGTTTAGTATGTAAGAAAATGAAACAAAAAAGGGCGCTAAAAGCTAAAATAGCCGCTCCACTCCGTTCGCACGCTTCGTCGCTTGTTCCCGTGTCCTTCTCCCTGCGTCCAAATACAAAATACAAATGACCGACGCCGACGTGCCGGCCAAGTTAAAACAAGGCATTTTTCATTCACGTTCACGAGTTTCGGGGCGGCAGCATGCCCACAGTGCTAGATGTTGCCGGGCTACACCAAAATGTTGCTAGCTTTTGCGCATGCCCAGCGGCGCTCAAATTAGCGTTCCATTTGGTGAGTTTCGGGCAGCGACGGCGGCAGCGTGGCAGCGACGACAGCGACGCCAGCAACATTTGCTCCGGCGGTGGTTGTGTATGTGTGTGTGTGTGTGTGTGTGCGTGTTACCGCTCTGTGTATATAGCGAAGCCGAGTTTTATATGACCGTCGCTGTGTCTTCTGTCTCTTTCTCTGCTTGCTGCATTTGTTTTTGCTTTGACTCTGCTTTTGCATTGTGTTTTTGCGTTTGATTTTGCTTTTTTTTTATCATTTATTTATATGTATAAGAAATATATATGGAAAAATAAAGGGGAACGACAGTGCTGCTGATGGAAATAATGATGTTGCAGACTTACGAAAATTCTCTACTCACGCGTATTTTGGATAACCTCAAGCCGGGTTTGCGTTCGGGTTTGGGTCAACCAACCTATTGGAACTCAGCTTCTGGGGAAGCTAGAGGAACCATTCAAATGGCTATTACTTGCTTTTGGATAAATTGAACAAATTGGTTAACTTTGCGATCGGCGTTCGGCATAGCTCTATCTTTATATCTGCATTAATAGTTATACATACATATACTGCTAATATTTGTATGAAGGAACAACTGCTGACGATGAATGTTGACTGTACTGCAGGAAATAATTATTAATTACTTTACGCAGTTACATATTTGAATTTCAGATCGGTGTTTGGGATGCCTCGCATAACATCAGCACTAAGCAGATATACTACTGCTGTTGATGATTAATGTTCATGGGTTCAGTTAAAGAACCTTTCAATTGGCTAAGACTTTCTTTTAAATGCTTTCAACAAGTTAATTGACGTTCAGATGAGGGTTATGCATGGTTCCCACAGTATTCAAAGGCCCAATTCAACCACGTGACAAGCACACAGCTGTGCTACAGTTGCGATGCATATGATTAACGTGTTCCGATAAGGCAAGACCTATTAATAAACTTACCATTTCGCATTAGTCAGCCATTGACTCACACTAACGTTAAGTGGCCCAGTCCAGTCCAGAGCAGAGCTTACACTACTAGCCTAGTTTCGGACTCGAGTTGGGGACGGGTTGCGGATTGCCCGCGTCACAGGTCTCGTAAAAGTTGTCAACGCTTAAAAAATTAATAAACCCAACTTTTATTATGCACAGCATACGAAAATAAAGCGAAGAAAGACAACAAAGAGCAAACTAAAAATAGCTGCGGGAAGGGTTTCGGCATGGGTACGTTCGGTTCTGGCTTTTTTTCGTGTTAGCATTTGGGTCTGGTCTGGGATATTCAGCCCAAAAGTATTTAAAAATCTTGCAAACCAAAATGTGAAGAGCTAATGGAGCCCAGATACTCGTACAAACGGACACGGGGATGTGGATGTTGATGTGTTTGTGGATACATATGAATCTGGACAGGGGGCTAGAGGCAAGAGGCAAGCGGCAAGCGGCGGGCAACACACAAAGATACCCATTTATTCGAGGTTGTGTTTGTGTGTGTGTGTGTGTGTGTGTGAGCGAGGCCTTGAGGAAGAGTTGAGTGGAGTACTAAAGAGTGAGCGGGACAGAGGGGGAGAGAGACAGAGAAGACAGGCCGAAAATTTACATACATGATTGTCATAAAAAATCAGCAAGCAAATTGTCAAATCCCTAAACTGACAATAAAACAATAAAGAAAACGGAGAGCGAAGAGCGAAGAGCAAAGCCAAGACGAAGAGTCAGAGATAGAGGCAGAGGCAGAGGAGTGCGGGATTCGAGAACGGCTGAAAACTCGAAAGTACAGTGGGACCTGCTAGATTACGATAGGAAAATATGAAACCATGCCTAATGGGATTTATCGGAACTTAAGGCGAATCAAATTATTTGACCACATTGTATTACTACGCAAAATGCTAGTTCTTCCTCGAATCGACTACTTTATACATACACATATGTACATCCAAATTAGTCTGAAATTTCAGGAGTTATATGTGTACATATGTATGTATGTATGTATGTGCTACATGTACATATTTCCCATCCGTCTTAGGCGGGCTTCACAGTACCCACATTGTCTGCATATGTCGAGAGAGCAAAGTAGGGCGAAAGCGCGCGGAATGGCGGAAGAAAAAAGAGCCGAACGCAAAAGCAGAAACCGCATGCAAGCCTGTTGGCTATCATTGCATAGGGGGGAGATAAAAGGGAGAGCGATTGAGCGAGATAGCGGCAAAAGAAGTACGCCGAATGAGAGAGAGGGAGAGAGAGCTTTGGCGCAACAGCTGATGCAACCGCTGCAGCCGGCTTAGTGTCTGCTATGGGATTAGACCGTTTTATGGCGCATTTATGGACACGCAACAGTTGCTTGGCAGGACAGGGCGCGCAGGTAGGCCCTGCATCGTGCGCAGGAGGCTGAGAGCTGGCAGTTGCAACTCCTAATTGCAAGGTGCACGAGGGGGTGGGATGAGTTCTTGCTCTTGCGTGCTGGTGTCAATCAAATCCCAGTTGCAGTCACAGCGGACTCAATTTCTTCTCGCATTTCTTTTTGTTGGCCTCTCCCTGAGACTGCGTGTGTGTTTGTCTGCATGCACGTGTGTGTGTCTGTGTGTGTGTGCAGTTAATGACTTTTTAATTGAGCGCGTACAGCAGCTGTCACTGTCAGCGCCGTTACTTTTCAATTACGTGTACGTGAGAGCGAGAAGTACAAGAAAAGAGTGAGCCAGCGAAGGGAGCCAAGCGCCGCCAGTTGCTGGGAGAGAGCCAGCAGGAGAGCTCTCTAAACTTAACTCGACGTCAAGGTGTATGTAGGCAAGGTGAGCATTTACTTGCGTCTCACATAGTTTGTCACTCAAACTAAATATGCGGCTACATTACTTACAATTTTATTTTGGCAATCCCGATCTGCCATTATTATGCCCATTCTCTCTCGGATTCTTTCTGTCATCGTTGCCCTGTATTAATTTATACCTTGACCAGAACGAAGCGCTGCCAGGGGCTTTCTTGCAAGCTTAAACCGAGTCTTCGACTCGGCTCCGAATTCGGCTTATGTAACGCTGGCGCCGCCATCAACGTCGACCGCGCTTCTTATGACTCACTGGAGCCTCAGGGCCAACGCCAACCAAGTCGCTGCTGCTGCTATCGCCACCGGCAGAGCGGTGGCGGCTGCGCCGTTTGTTGTGGTTTCTCCGCGCCTACCGCCTACCGCCTCCCTTGGCTGCTCTCCTGTTTGCGCTCTCTTCGTGTTCGTGTTGTTCTTGGGGCCCGGAGCCGGCTTCAAGTTTGCTTTGTTGTTATTCTTCTCCTTCTCCTTCTCCTTCTCCCCTGCTCATATTCTTCTTCTACTTGTTGACTTTGTCTCTGCGAAGTACACATAACACATGCACATACATACATATGTACATATGTACATGCATACATACATATGTACATACATATGTATGTACGTAAGAGCAAATAGAGTATTCGTCATACACATGACCTGCCAACGACCCTGTAACGGGGCCCCATGAATCGAACTGCTAATACCACGATTGGGGTTCCAGAGTCTTCCGTCTAAGGTACTCGCATATCTTAACTATCATTTTCAATACACTCTTTGGAATTTCTTCTTAACAATAAAATAATACCAAAGTTGTAGCTTAATCATTTTAAAGATATTAATCTCCAAATTGGAAACATAGGTGAAGTTTTTCATGTGGATTTATCTGTCTGAGGCCCAACAGATATACTGGAACGATCTGCAT